CCCTAAGGTCAGAGGAAAGAGACCTCTACTTCCTATCATTCTCTAACGGGCGGAATAGGTAAAGGTGAGAGTTATAGTCGTTGATTCAATGATGAAGATGCCGCTGCAAAGGAGAAGAGGAGAGGGATCTAGCTCCATAGCTAGAACTGCCCCACAAAGGTCTTATTCACCGTCTGGTTTGGGGACATCTTTAACACCTTAGTTATGTAAGACAACCTCATATGTAGAAATTTATGTTTGACTTAATCGATTGAAGGAGCAAGGGGGTCCTCCTTGTGATATGCAACATGATGAAGTTATTTGTAATTGAATTTAAATATTGAAGCTATATTTGGGTTGACTTTGGAAATTGCCATCCTATGCAGTACATTTTAAAATTAGCTTGAAGACCATGTAGCAAAGTAAGTGTAGATTTTAAATAGTTGAAAGATATTAATCCAAAATTTTGATTTATCTTGAATATTTTATTATTAGGATCCGTAAAAAGCATAGATTGCATTTTCATATGAAGTAACCTAGAAAAACCACACGCAACAAGGAGAAAGTGAATATCTAATATGTTGCACAATGTATACAAGACAAACAAAATATATAATAGGTCGGTGCCGCTGGGTCAACAACATTTCTCAGGAAAGCAAAAAAACAGTCACACTCTGCATATACATGTCTGGTCATAATTTCATACATGAATATGAATTCAAATTTAAGGTATGGGATATGAGCAACTGCTCCTTGAGCCCATCACGTGGTTCAATGCATCACACGCCTTGGAACCCATGTTTGTTTTTTATTATCAATACAAAATCGATTCTAAGAACTATCAAATACATGAAAATAATAAAAAAAGACTCGACCTACAAAATTGTTAGCATGTTTTATATTCATGCAACACATATGAGCTACGCCTGGCGGGAGGAGAGCTTAACAAAACCTGCAGAAAATGTTAGATTTTTAATCATTATTTGCACCTCCCTTTTAATATTTTTAGGCATGACTCCCTGTATAGAAAACTGCCCTTAATATATTAGTGTGCATGTTCACACCCAATAAACACAAAAAGACAACACAAAAAGATGTCTGGTTAGGGCAACCAAACTAACAAAAAATAATACTTAGGACATCAAAAAGACTACCTCGCATCCTAGCCCTAGCCTATTATATTATCTAACGAAAGTGGGGTCGCCGACACCGACCTTGTCCTAAAAATCCAAGTGATTTAATATTTTTCACCCAAAGGAATTTTTAAAAGATTTGGCCTCACATATGACCTAGTTTTGTTATTTGCATAATTTTAAAATATAGCAGATTATTAAATGCGGTCCGAACATGTAAGGTGACATATGTTAGAGCCCTTAAAACTTTGCATGGTCGTACTTGTGTTAATTCTGATGCAATAACTCACATTATTCACCGAGATTTACCTGAAGAGCAATGCGAGTTAAAGCATCACAATCAACACTGAGTCACTCACCTAACAAGTCTAATTTGTTATCAAGACATAAAAAAATGATGCTCATGCAATCATGCAACATAACATAATCAGGTCGGCACACATTGTGCACTCAATGGGCTCAACAACATTCAAGCATGACCATAATTGAGCACACAATATGAATTGCTTATGACATTCAAGCGTGATGCCATAAAAGTTGAGGCGGTATGCTCTCCATTTAGGAGATTCACACACACGCGGGCTAGCATTGTTATCCACCATCATCAAAGGTTTGCAAGTATTAAGACACACACGTATGGTAGCATATGTATGCGGAAATACCTCAAGTGTTGGTGCTCAAAGAGACACCAAGCATATGCCAAAAGCAAACTCAATTTTTCATGCAACGAGTTTAATACTCCAAGCATCATTCAATTTTTTTTTATTTTCATGCACATACAAACACAAACTCAAGAATTAAAATGGACATGCAAAAGATGCAAAGGCATGTGCAAGAATTGCGTCATACAATTTAATTGGTTGATTGGGTCTTAATGACAATCAAACCAAAGGGATTGGTTGATCGGACCTTGGTGGCTGATGAAACCAACATGATTGGTTTTATGATCGGGCCTTGGTGGTCGATCAAACCACAATGATTGGTTTTATGACCAGGCCTTGGTGGCAGATTGAGTCAAAGTGGTTGGTTTTGTGATTGGGCTTTGGTGGCCTATCAAACCAATGGTTGATTTTGTGATTGGGTCTTGGTAGCCGATCAAACCAAATTGATCATACGACCTATGTGACATGTGGAGTGCAACATGCGAAGTGTCATGAAAGATATGCAAGAAATGTGAAAACACATGCAAGAGATGTGATATGTAAGTGAAGTTGCTCAATTTACCCTTTAGGTTGACCTGGACAGTAGACCAAATGCTTTGGCCAAGAGGTGTTAGTCGGGCTGGACCAGGGTGATGGGTCGATCGAGCCTTGGTGTTCGATCAAAACAAAGTGGGTGGTGGTTCGTGTTGGGGTCGCTGATCGAACTGAAGTAGGTGGTTGATCGAACATTCATGGCCAATCACACCTAATTGATGGGTAGATCGAGCTGGGGCGATTGATCGAACCGAAGTAGGTGGTTGATCAGACATTCATGGCCGATAAAACTTAATTGATCGGTCGATCAAACTAGGGCGCCAGATTGAGCCAAAGTAGGTGATCGATTGAACCTTCGTGGCTGATCACACCTAATTGATCGGTCGATCGAGTCAGAGCAGCCGATCAAACCGAATTGGGTGGTTGATCGGACCTTTGTGGCCGATCAAACTTAATTGATCGGTTTATCGGGCTGGGGCGGCCGATCGAGCCGAAGTGGGTGGTCGATCAAACATTTGTGGCTGATCGAACCTAATTGATCGGTCGATCGTGCTGGGGCAGCCGGTCGAATCGAAGTGGGTGGTTGATCGGATTGTTGTGGCTGATCAAACCTAATTGATCGGTCAATCGGGTCGAGGCGGCCGATCGAGCCGAAGTGGATGGCTGATCAAACCTTCATAGACAATCGAACCTAATTGATCGGTCGGTAGGTTGGGGCGGCCGATCGAACCAAAGTGGGTGGTTGATCGGACCATCGTGGTCGATCAAACCTATTTAGATAACTGATCGAGCCAGGGCGACCGATCGAACCAACATGATCATATGATTGAAGTGACATGCGCAAAGTGACATGAAAGACACAAACAAGAGAAACCACATGCATTTGATAATAATTAAATTCATTCTAACATTCTCACATAAGATCTAGGAAGGTGTAGTTACCCTCCGTTACACGACGTAATGGAGAGCTTACCTCTAATTATCCGACAAAAATATGAAGGGACCTTCCCGTGAGAAAGAAAATCTTTGGCAATATCACTTGCAACCCTAATTGAACCCATTGGCATTGATCGAAACTCCCTCGTGATGCTCACAACCCTCACCTCATTATGCTTGTGACCCACCTTCTATAATAAATCCATAATGCCATGATGATTATTATCTTTCAATTTTATTTATAACCTTTGATGATAACCCATCAAACCCTCTAACTGCATCGATGCCTTTAACCTCATCATATCCATCATTGTGCTAAAAAACTTATAACATTTCCTAACTCGAGAAATTGATTATACTTGGAAGCAACCAAGCAAAATTGCTCTTGAATTTATTTTATAAGAATAAACCTAATTGTGAAATATTTGCAAATAAATAACCCTTCAATTATTTTCTTTTTAATTAGCTGAACGTTCCCATCCATAGCTCAGTTAAGCAACTAGATGTCGATTTCCATATGCCAGATAAGTTGATTTACGTATCAAGCTTATCATCTAAACATAAATGTTTATCCTATCAGTATAGCCTGACTAATTCATATGATGTCTCAACCTTATGAGTTTGTATATGATTATGATTCACTTTATAGTAGATAACTAAGACAAAATTAATATAGATTGTCCCTTGTTAGCATCCTAGTTATAGAAGATGATTCGATGTGTTATCCTCATTATATCATACAATTCTAATCGTCATCATTGCTTAAAAAATATACCTAAGGGGGTATAGTGACATTACTATTCCAAGAAAGATATCAAACTAGATATTAGGCTTTCTAATCTTTTAAGGTGTGGGTTGTAAGTCCAAAGATAGACGTATTTATAGTATATGGAAGAATCATCCTACATAATTCATTCCATTGTGGAGTCTAGGACTATTTTAATCAAGGCATGTACTTTTTTTAAGTGTCATGAATACAGTATGAACATTTCCCTTTAGAGAATGCAACTTATATATTCCCCTTAGGAATTACTTGTAAAGATTTATAATCCTATCAAAATTCGGGCATCTCCCTGCAAAAGTTATGGATTTTTAAGACTTTTTAACTTTACATAGGCCAATAACCTTACAGTATCACGAGTCTGATTTAGATCTCTCTAGAGATCATTGAGCAATATGATTGTAATAACCATGTCCCTATCATTCAAACTATCCTCATTAATTCTTAAATGTGTTCCACTAATCTATATCTCATTTAAATCCAATCTCCATAGTCCTCTACACAATCTCTTTCGTTGCTTGATATTCTTGAAGCCTAAGTATATGTCGACTACTGATATCCTACCTACTCTTTAAAAGAGAGTTATCTTAGGTGTTATGCTCAGTATGTAATTAACTATAAGCTTTTGCTACTATTAAAAAACTTGATTTTTAAAAATAAAATAAATCCTGTATGAATCTTCCTTCAGGAGAAAACTCTAAAATATACTACTCTATTTTAAAAAAATTTCAGGAGATAAAGGTGGTATGTTTTATATCCTCTAAGTTAGAAAAGAACTTCTTGACTGCCCAATATGAGTCTAGTGATGCCCATAATCACACCAAAAACAGAAAAAGATTAAGCAAAATTAAAATTGACAATAATTTTAATAATATGTTTTTAAAGCATTAGCTTTACTTGATATGAGAGCTAAGCATTATAAAAAACAGCAAAACTATACAATAACATTGTAACACGACTTGAACTTTCAACCTCTCTACAAAATATTGGTACAACTTCAACGTACATAACAAAAAGCCTCACGACTAGCTGAAATTAAAAAAATTTAGAGATTTTTTCTCCTAAAGACAACAAAACAAAATTTAGTGATTCAGCAATAACATTTCGATTCATGGACTTTGAATCATGATAAAAAATCATCAATTTGTCCACAAACTAATATGATAGTTGTCATCATCATCCATGTGCCCAATAAATTCCTTGCATGTTCAGCATATCATTCAGGAATTATCCAACTCATCAAAACTAGAGTTTGATCTTACAGAATATTCGGCTACAAGCTTTGCAAACATAGATGACTTATTCTCTAGCAGTCTAGTCGGTGAGTCATGTTCAATGATTAAACCTGTGAAGTATAAGACATCCGCCCATTAACTTTCTATACAAAAGTTAAATGATGCAAAAAATAAAAAATAAAGGTAATATTAGAAAGAAGACCAACCATTATCAAGAAGAACGACAATGTCACTATCAAGGACTGATGTTATCCTATGTGCTATTGTGATTGCTACTGTGATGACAGTTGAATCAGAAAATTGTTGCCTCAATGTTTTCTGAATTAGATTATCAGTTGCAGTGTCAACTGAAGCCGTTGCTTCATCAAGTACCAATACTTTGCTTCTTTTGAGAATTACTCTTCCAAGGCAAACCAATTGGCGTTGGCCCACACTCCAGTTTTCACCATTTTCAGTCACTGTAATTTGATTTTGTTTACCAAAATACCATGTGTTACAAATGTGAAAATATAAGGTACTTAAGCTAGGTGCTACTCATGAATCACTACCACAAATCAAGGGTCTTACTAGCATAAACGCTATACTCAAATTTTCACTCATGATATTAGACTATTTTCTGCTTCATGTGCATTTCAATACCATCAAAAAACAACAAAGAAGTTAATTAGATAAAAAGGAAGATTTACATACAAACCACTCAATTCTATGTATTTATGTATCTAACACCTAAAATTTTTACATACATGCCACTTTACCTACGAATCGAAATTTGTATTTTACCTTCTAAAAGTTAAAATGGTGGCATATAAAAGATTTGAGTGGTGTAAATATACAAAATAAAGTTTAGACGTTAGATATATAAATACATAAGAATTGGTTGGTATGTATGTAAATGCCCCAAAAGAAAACAATGTTTTAAATGAGAAAATTCATGAAATGAAACCTTACCTATTGAATCTAATTTATTTTCTTTCTTACGAACTTCATCACCAAGTTGGCAACAGTCCAATGCCTATTAAAAAAAAAGAAAAAAAAAAAGCAATAAAAGATGTTATAAATCATAAAAAATAAGTCATCAAGAAAGTTAACGAGATCGGCGTTCAGAAATT